TGCTGCTGCTGTTGCTGCTGTAGGCCCTTTTTCTTCTCTAATTTTGTGCGCCTACCTGAGAAGTGCAGTGGATTCGTCTCTGCTTTGACAGTTCTCTCAATTATGCACAGGTGATTGTCCCTGTAGTCCCATTATTAAGGGTCTCCTTCTCGGCTTTCGTCCTTGCTAACAATGGGATTAAAGAAGGATATACATGGTATGTGCACCCCCGGACACAGGTGCAACCATCGTTTCATGTTTCAACCTGTTGTCGTTCCTTCTTCTTTTTTCTTTGGGGAAATTCCATGACAACTTCACAGCTCAAGAACTTACAATAGAAGACCAATTTTCTGACTGTCAAATTATGCAAAAGAATACTTGTTCTTAGAGCAGGGAAAATTGAAGGAAAAACTTGAAGAAAAAACTGAAGAAAAACCCGTAGAAAAAGAACTGTGGCAGAAGAACCACTTTTCAATAAAACTTTCCCACTGCTGCTGTTGACAGCAGCAACATCCCATCTCCCAGGCCATCCTTCGGTTGGCCTGTCCAAACGAATTAGCCTCAAGAAATGCTCCAACCATCTTTCAACACTCGATTCTGTTCGAGTTTCAAACTAATATCATTCTCAATCGGGTGTTCAGTTCCTAACTCCATTATCGTTCTGTGGGGTTTGCCCCTCGAGGCAAAAAAAAAAAAAACCAACTGCATTTCGTTAATCAATTTGATTAATTAATGCCCGTTTCTTAATTGACTTTCACTTGGGCGGAGTCTCATTTTCTCGCTAACTGGTTTTACATTTCACTTAATGAATATCAAGGGGATATAATTATGAGAGGTATTTTGTGGAAGTAAAAGGATGTAATGCATTCGCGTAGTAGGATCTATGGCTAAGGTTTCATAGAAATGGATCAATAAAAATCAAGTAAAAATTCTTGCTAAATTTCTGTTGCCTTAGACCTATTTAAAAAAAGGTATTCCAAGTCTCTAGATTCGATTGATAGTTTTCTTTTCTTTCTATCCTTGTTTTGTTTCTTGTTTTAGTTGATGGAAAATTTCCATTCCAGTTTGTTTGCCATTGCGATCTTTGCCGTTTAATTGCCTGGCAATTTTTAGCTTCAGTTTTTCCCTCAGTAAATCAGAAGCAGCTGCAACTTCATTTCGCTTATTGATGCCACATGTCGCACTGTTATGGCATGCCCTGCCACTGCCCCAGCCCCAGCCCTAGCCCCAGTCCTGCCCCAAACATATGTTCAGCATTCCCATTCGCAAACGCGCAACCTTTGAGCTGCACAGAGAGACAGAGTTCATTGACCCACAGCCAAAGGCCCAGAAGGCACAAGTTTTGTGCAATTTTTCGTAGTTCTGATTCTACTTTTTCAATTTTTCCCTTCCCCAGCCCGTTTTCCATTTCCATTTCCATTTCAGTTGGAAACGGAGTTCCGTTTAGTTATGTTTTTTTGTTCTTTGGATTCAGAATTACCCAGCTAGTACTGCTATTCACGAGAAAGTGGCACGACATATATCTACTTCTTTCTCTGTGCCTGCCCCTCTGCCTCTCTCTGTGTGGCAGTGGCATGTTCAGGAAGCATCGTCTGGCGAACTGGGTTGGTTAGTTGCTGCCACCCCATGACAGACGCCGGATGCCATCTAGCTCTGTTGGACTATTTTTCTATACCTCCCGCTGTTGCTGTTGCTGCTGCTGCTGCTGCTGTGACTCCTCTTTTATTATTTTTCGTTCTATTGCCACTTTTGCTACTGTTTGATGCCTTCCTCCCACTTTCTCCCACTTAATTTTAGATGATGTTTTTCAATTTAGTAGCTGCTTAGCTGCTTAGTCGGGGACTGAGGCATTGGCTAATAGTAATACTAGGAATTAGCTAGGGGAATGCCAGAGGAGATGCTAGAGGGATAATTTCAGCTCATCTTATAGAATGGCTGACTGACTATTGAGCTGCTTAAAGATACATATTCTCGTTCTTGGCATTAAAATTTGATACTGTAAGTCGCGTGTTTGCGTGACAGAAAATCATCATCATCTTGGAAAAAAAAATAAAAAATAACAAAATAATAAAAAATTGTTTCAAGATGTAAAAAAGTTAAAAACTTAATTGTTATACTGTTCAAAATCAGATTAAGAATAAATTTTAATTGAATAGAATATATCGAAACTTTAAGGCAGTGTCTCTCAAAAACATTTCTATTAATTTTTAAAATTTTCATTATGATTTTTATATGATTCCGGCAAGGTGACAGAAATATAAAATTATTTTCGAAAAGCTTTCTTGTAAGAACTGCCAAAAATAATTGTCAGCAAAGCCTCCCCTTGTAGGATCTGCCACATAAATCTTTTCTTGTTCCTTCTTTTCCTACAAGCAACTGGTTGTAGCCACATCCCTTGCTTATTGCTGTTAACATACCCGTCTGGAGATTCTTAATAAACTTAAACTTAACTGCCGCCGAAAAAATGTGCGCCATTTAAATTTGTATTCCCCTTTTTTTTTTCGCCGTCGCCATCGTCCTGGCATTCCACTTGATGGCACTTGACGGAGCTCCTCAGCGTTGGCATCGTCATCCTTTTTTTGCGAGGGTAATTTTTGCACGTGTGCCGACACTTGACGGATATGCGACATGGTGGGGTAAGGAGGCATGCCTGCAGGAAGAGGGAGGTTGAGAGAGCGAAGGTTGGAGTGGCTGCAACAATCGGGAAGACCCAAAAGAGCGCGCTGTGCTGCCTTAAAGCTCAATTAAGCCAAGTTAATTGGCCTAATTGACTTTGACGGCGAACAAAGAAAGACCTGGCTGGCTGGTGGATGGCATCTAAGATGGCCCATAACTTTTCTGGATGGGAGAATGGGGATATCTTTTTAGGTTACGGCGGGAAGCGTTTGGGGAGATATCTTGAGGAACAGTTGGGGGGTTCTCTCTGCACTCTGCAGGTCTCCAGTGAAATTTTAAGACCAAAGCGATAAGCACGTTGTTTGTGTCTTGGTTTTAGCCTCTCGCAGGGAGGGCTTCCTTCTCTTCTTATTGACTTATCGCTGGAACCTATCCGAAGAAAACATCTATCCAAACAAAAGAGTGAGGCAACAGCAACATAAAAACCTCATCAACAAGAACCCAGCCCCAGCCAGCTAGCCAGCCAGCCAGCAGTTGACACAAAGACCTCAAATAAATAAGCAGCAATTTGAACAAAATAAGTAAACAAACACAAAAGCTTTACACGCAGCAATAACCTACATGTAAGAATGGGTAATTGGGATATGGTTGGGGGATATGGCGACCCATAGGATACCCTAAAGAATACTAAATACTGAATACTAAAGAATAAATTCAAACAGGAATGATCATTCAAATTTAAATACATGAACTGTGGGGAAAAATAGAAAATTAAGTTAACGGATTAAGAAAAAATCTTTATATTATTTTACTTTAAATTAAAATATTAAAACAATTTAATTTAATTTAAAAATTAAACTAAAAAAGTTAAAAAATTGAAAATTGTAATTAACAAAAATTTAAATTAAATATAGATGGAAACTGAACTATTAAAGCTTACATTTAAAGAATGACATACTAAAATAAATAAATAAAATGTAATCCGTATATAGTTTCTTTTTAGTTTCTAGTTTTCTTTCAATGTTGGCCGTAATAACGATACCCATTCGAATATGCTTTCGTTTTCTCATAGTCTTTGCCTCTTCTCGGATACAAAATACCCTCTTTGTAGCACGACAATAACAGGGTAAAAATAAATAAAAACAAAGCATCAAAACCGAAAGAGACTGTGTGGGAGGAAGGGCAGAGCCAGCGACTGGGAAAATCAAAAGGGTAGAAGGGAGTTCCTCTCGTATTTTTCATGAAAAGAAATTGAACTTCCTTTTCAATCTCTTCCGCGGCAGACTCTGACACAAAGTGAAGTTTGATAAAGCGAACAAACAAAATGTACATAAAACTTCAGCATAAAACGTCAAAAACTTATTCTGGGTTAAGCCAAAGGCTAAGTGGGGGTACAAAGCGGCATAAAGAGAGGGTTGCGGAGGCGCCTCAAGTACATGTTGAAGGCGGGAAACCATGAGGCAGCACAAAAACAAGACAGCCAAAAGAAATGAAATTCAAATTTAAAATGAAATGAAAATTGTTTCAAATGCTGTGCGGCACGGAAAAGCCAATTGAAACTTGCACTCGAGAAGGAAAAACCCCCATACCATTTCATTCCATTTCATCCGTTAAATTGGCGCTGCTAATGTGTGAGATATGGTCTTGTATGTGGGATATAATGAGATGGTATTGGGGGTATTGGGGGATGGCATGCATGCCCTCGTACGGGTTGCAGTAGATGACTTGGAAACATGATAATTGTAATGATAATGATGCTGCTAATGGAGCTAAAGATATGATGATTATGATTGAAAATGATTGAAGAAGCAAAGAGAAGAAAGGGAATACTTGTACGATGCAATGGAAAGTGTGATGCTGTAAAGTGGATGCTTCGATGGATAAGAAAAATTATGTCCCGCAGAGGGAGGGCTTTGGATGGGAAGTTAATTAATGGGAATCGTAAATTATGGATAAATCTTGTGGGAATTAATTAAAATTAAAAATAAATAAATTAATAGTTTAATTATTCTTGGAGAATCTTAAAAATTCTTCTTAGAAATGAAGGCAAAAGAGAGTACTTGTTCGAAGAAATTGAAAAAGGGCATTGAATATTAAGTAAATTAATGGATATTTTGTAGGAGAAAATCGAACCATAATTAAAGAGAATCTCATAGCTTCTCTTGTGATCAGAAATTGTACCCTTTAACGTTTGGCATCAACTTTTCTATTGCCTAAACTTTTTTTATTTATTTATAAATCGCTACCAAAACCCGTAATCATTTACCTTAATGGAAATCCCAACTAAATCCGTTTTAAACCAATTTATAAACCCCTCGAAAATTGTAAATTAGTTTTTATAAAAGTTAATTAACACTTTCTAACCTACTTTGTTTCTTTTTGGCTTTGTGCTGTATCTTTTGCAGCGGAGACGCGAACGCGGTCGAATACAGTTGAAGGGCGTACGCCTTGTGGAGGAGGCGACCGTTAACGGAGAGGGCGGCGATCCCTTTGCACCGGATGTGAGTAGCCACGAAAAGATTTTGTTGAGAAAATCCATTCATTCATTCATACCATCCATAGGGTTATCCATTCCAAGTGGGCTACTGTGAGATCTCCTCAACGCAACAGAAGCAGCAGCAGCAGCAGCAGCAGCAACAGCAGACGGAGCTGCAAGATCGATCTGGTGTCGAGGGTGGACAGCAGCAGAACGGTGGACGAGCAGTGCCACAGTACACACTCTACGTGATAGCCAACAGCGAAAAGGAGCGCAACGAGTGGATCCGTGCCATACGACAAGGTTTGGATCTCCCCAAAAAAAAAAAAAAAGAAACGACTCTCGCAGCTGCCTGATCGATCAAAGGCGATAGCCACACATCTTTATTTATTTTTTGGGTTAATCTTTTTTTACCTTGCCTTGTTTTTTTTTTTTTTTTTGCAGTTTGCGAGGACAGCAATACCCCCAAGTCATATCGATATCATCCGGGTTTGTGGTCTGGCAAAAAGTGGAGCTGCTGCAAGGGTCTCTCACGGTCAACATTCGGATGTCGAGCGGCTGCCCATTGGCGTGAGGCGAATAATAATCCAAGTAAGTGGAATAGTACTTATTGTATGGCAAGCATAGATCCTCTTTAATACAGAGAAAGTGAGTTCGTCGGACTTTTGTGTCCTTCTCGCTTTTATTTATAGTTTTTCTTTAATTTGGAATGGGGGAAAATACGCGTGCCAGATGGAAATGGGGAAAACATATGGTGGCGAATGGGCGTTGAAGTATTTAAAGGAATGCGAATGGATCGCCGGAACTACCCCCACAAAAAGAACTGAACTGCTCAGTATTTTGGGGATGAATTGTAGCGTAAAATATACGAAGAATAACTCTATTTTTCCACTTAATATACATTGTTCCTTATACAAAAATGGATGTATTGAATATTATGGATTAATATTTGCGATCAAAAGTTGTTTATTACGAAACACAAAATTTATTTCGGACTTCGATTATTTTTATAAAAAATAAAAAAATTAAAAATATTAATCATTTGAAATTAAAATAAAAATAAAATAATAATTACAAAAATTATAATATTACGAGGAAAATTTTGACATTCAGTTGAAATATTATATTATATTATTATATTATTCAAATTAAAATAATTTAAAACTATTTTGAAATATTTTCCCATTAAATGAGCTGTTCTCCCTTGTCAATCAGCTGTTATTAGTGATGGCAGCTGTAATTCGCATGCCAAATTGAGAACTTTCTAGTATTTTTTCGAAAGAATCCCAAGCAAAATCAGGGAATAATTTAATTTGATTGGGAAATAGCATAAAGTTCACAGCCTCTACTTTTAGTTGTCTAGGAATGGATTAGGCATATGTGGAAGAATCTCTTTATACATACAGGGTTTTCCATTCAAATTAAAACTCGTAAAACTTTAAGAGATATTCTGCCATTGTAGATGTGCCAGCATGCATTTCCCCATCATCTACATACGAGTTGAAGAACCTCTTGAAGGCCTAGCCTTGACTTGGACTTGAGGCCATGCCATGCCATGTTCCTGCTGCTTCCAGTGTCGTCTCGGGCGAATGTCATTGTCAATGGGGAGTGGGAGTGAGAAGTGTTCCCCGACAAATCCTCTCCTTTGTATCTCTCGTGTCTTTTCTTTTGCTCACACGCTTTTCCTTTTTCCTGTTGTCAAGCCTTATTTGACACATTGTCTGTGCAACGTGTGCAACACCCTCTTGTACCCCATTTGGTTCTTTATTTCTTTTTTTTTTTTTGTCGCCTGTGAGACATCCGTGTGCGTGTCTGAAGTGCGGCTGCCGCTGGTACCCTAAGCTGTTAATGAGCAGACGACGACTACTCGAAGGCATCCCAAAAGCACCTCAGAATTACGCAGATACTTGGCACCAGCAGCCCCAGAAGCAGCAGCAGCAGCAGCAGCAGCAGCAGCACCCTTCACCTTCTGCCTCTACGCTGCCCGCGGCTGTTTGGCCGGAACAAATAGGAATAGTACACGTAAGTAAGTACGTGGCTGTGGCTGTCGCCCTCTAATGCAACTTTCGCACCTGATGGATCTTTGGGGGGTCTGGGTCCGTCCTCTATTGACTGGGTGCGAATTCCGTATAATGGAGGAGGTATCTCTCTCTCTCTCTCTCTCTATCTGGTCAGCAAACAGTTGCTAAAAACGTTTGTCTTGCCAAAGAGAACCATCAACTATGGATGGAGACTGATAGCTAAAAGGAAAACGCTTTGGCAGTATAAAGAGCTAAAGAAAACTCCTTCTGCAGTCTGAAAATGAATGGAAATCCCAATTAAATCGTATGTTTTATGGTTCTACGAGTAAAATCCCATTCTTATCTGCCTCACGCGACTTTCTGTTTGATTGCGCAAGATATTGTATCTGGGAGATTGTGTCTGTTGAGATTCCATCCGTAAGATTCTGAATCATCAAAGTAAATGTTTGTTTTTCCGTAGAAAAAAATACACAGGAAAGGGAAAGAGTTTTTTTTAATTTATCAGAAACTTGGGGTTAATCTTTTATGGGAAAAGTGTTTTAAAACTATAAATTTACAGGCTGTAACAGGGTTTCCATCCTCGCAAACGCCTTTAATTGAATATAAGCAGTAGGACGTCATACCTCTAAGGAGTACCAAGACCAGGAGTCCACTAGTGAACGTCATTATTCGATTCCTATGAGATGATGTTGGTTGGTTGGTAGGGGGGGGGGGTCACGATACTATTTCCGCAAACCGTTGTACAATAGTACAATCAATCCAGCTACTGGGGGATTTGTTATGCAATGCTTTTAATGTGGCATGTCCGAGAAATTGATTTCCTGGAACAAAAATAAACTATAAATTCGAAAAACTTTGTTCTGTTGAGGAAGAAGCTTTGCTCAAGCTGCAGGTTTCTGTTTCTTCTGAAAGCGTAGGATACTTTATTTTCTACACCCGCCGTCACAGTTACATCCGAAAATATTGCACTTTCCATAAGCGCAACTTGGAACCTCTAACACGTGATCCATCTCTGCAAACCCCTTTGCCTTGAGGACTTCAGCAGTCGGACGTCTCACCGCCAACGAGAACTAAGCCCAGAAGTGCACTAATGAAATTCATAGCACGATTTGTGCGATTTGTGAAATTATATTATCGGGTAATAATGTAATTTCCCAAATCGCATAGATCTATGAATTTTGCTAGTGCACGATGGTTGGACTGTGGGGCTGGACTACATATAATATAAGTTTCCAAAACTGTTAATAAACCAATAAAATCAACAACTTGATGTGGTTATTATCTTAATTATTATGCTATGCTTCTAATGTGGAAATTTGATTTTTTTATTTTGGAACAAAAAAACAAAAAAGAAATTTAAAAAACTTTTTTTTTTTTAAAAAAGCTTTGCCCAAGCTGAGAGTTTATATTTTATTTGCGCTGATGATGATCGTCTGAAGATAAAAAGACAACATCTTTGGAAAGTATAGGATCCGATCCTTTATTTCCTTCACCGGCCGTCGCAGTTACATCCGAAGATACTGCACTTGCCATAAGCGCAATTAGGATCCTTTAGCACGTTATCCATCCTCCCAAACCCTTTTGCCATGGGAACGTCAGCAGTAGGATGTCTCGCCGCTAAGGAGAACTAAGACCAGGAGTGCACTAGTAAAATTCATAGCTCAATCGACATATGCGATTTGTGAAATTATGCTATCGGGTAATAATATAATTTCCCAAATCGCACAGATCATTCTATGAATTTTGCTAGTGCACGATGGTTGGTCTGTGGGGTTAGACTACATCTAATATAATTTGCCAAACTGTTTATAAACCAGTGCACTGGTTCAACTACTTGATGTGGATATTATCTAATTTGTTATGCTACGCTTCCAATTTGTTGTGTCCTTGAAACTGTACGACTCTTACACGTGCATATGCCGGGTTGGTGTTGTAGTGTTGGCAGAAAATAAACTAATTAAGCCATAAAAAAACACCTGCAGCCCAGAAATACTTTTGCATCCCGGTAACGGCATGCCCCCCTTGTCAGAGCGACCTTTCAATGCCACATATTTATAGATATATCGGGGGAAAGCGTTTGAAACCTTCCCCTTTATCACCTGTCATTTATTTATTTATTTATGACAAAATTTCCACATTAAGGAGATCTTTTAGTTAAGATTGTGAATAAAAGGAATTTCTGTTTTTACTGAAGATCAAATCAGAATGAAATGTAAACAAATACCTTCTATAGTTGCCATTATATCTCAATCTTCGCTTCCTTTGAGATCCGATTTCAAAGAGGAGAATCGATGTGTTCCATGAGAGAAAAATGTGGTCTTCCTTTATTGTAGTAGATCCCCAGAGATTGGAATGAACATAAACACCTTCTATAGTTCCCATTATATCGAAGTTCTTTTGCTTGTCAACAATTGCTCTCTTTTCCCCCTTTTAATAAACTGTCATAAATATTTTGATGTGGATGTGTCTGCCCCCGCTCTGCTCTGCTTGAACCTTGACCCTTTCGGCAGCTGTCAGTTCTATGGGAGAAGTTTTCCCATTTCGAAACGATTGTGTCAGTCAGGCCCTGGCCCAGCACAGCCCGCAGATGTCGCACGAGTAATACAAATGTCTGGCCTGATATTCTGATTGCTCATTTGTGTCATCAGATTAGATCCAAACCACCCTCCCAGGGTGCCCCAGGGTCATGTGTGTGCGTGTGACCCACACCATTCTGTGGCACGAACATTTAGGGCTCCTACAAACTTTACGCTGCTCTCCTCCCTCTCTGAAAAAAGCGTCGCCGCGACTTCCTTTGGGACATCAATTAGAGGCGTCACTTTAAATTGCCGTTAAGTCTGCCAAATTCGGCAAGTCATGCGCTGCTTCATGAAGGAGTCCCCTGGAGGAGCGGAGCGGAGCAGGAGGAGAGATACGATACCAGCAAGATCTCTGGAATGAAACGGAAATAACAATAAAAATCAGGTCGCCTTCATCTTCATTTATCAGGCGATGGAAGACAATGAAAGTGGCCTGATGCAGGCCCCCTGGATGCAGAGGCTGGTAGGATGAGGCAGGCCAGCGGCTGTGGATGAGGCACACAGATTGCGGGAGCTTGTCAGTTGCCGTTACAATAAATTAGCCTGTCAATTTTCTCTCTCGCTTTCGGCTATCATGCCACATCCCTTCTCCACCGCCACACGCCCCCGTGCTTGCACTCGCGAATGGGCCATCGAAATATTTCGGAAATTAATTATGCGCTTCTTCGGAGGAATGGAATCCTTTCCTTCTCGGCAGTTTGACTTTCGCCGCGTGCCATCGAAGCGAACAAGGCAACTTCAAAATTACTCGAAAATTACTCAGTAAACTCCGAATGACATCAAAATTATCTCAAGGTACTCCTAATTACTCCGAAGATGGAGTGGGCGATGCGTTTTAATGCCAAACAAGTTAATTAAATAATCTTTTATTGGCAAAGTCATATTTTATGGTTAATAATTCACACTCCGAATTACTCCGAAAAATATATTTACGCAGAAATTTAAACTTATGGTCAGAAACAGAAAAACATTGTTTTAAAATATTACCCTT